GGGGACATACCGAGAACCACACGTGTCGCTCCGCTAAACCTACTCTCTGGACCGCGTTCGAGCCCACCTCGGGGCGCGCATACGCATCCGTTACGTTGGCATTCGCTGGCAGGCCCACGCGCAACTCCGCGCGTCTCCGCCGCGATGACGTCACCACCTCGCGCCGGGGCTGCCCGGCCGCGCAACTTTTCACACGCCGCGCACACCAGGGCTCCCTCCGGGAGCGCCGGGAACCACTGCAGATCACTCAATCCATTCTGACATAGGTTCGTCACTGGCCCGAACTCACTGTCCGTCCAGGCTCTGGACTTTTTGAGGCGACGAATTACGGGCATCGCGACGTGATATCGAGGCCCCATAACCTCCCTTACCCGGGTAGCCCTCCCAGGCTCAGACTGCACGTACCCGATCGCGCCCCGCGGCTCGGGCGACGGGCCCACGGCTCGCGACGCGCGCGCGGATGATCCCTCCGCAACCTGCCTGACTGGCGGCGCGCAGTGCGCTGGCGCGCCATCTGAGCCCTTTACGTCACATTCACCCACCTCCGCGCCCTGCGCTGCCTCGTCACCTGGAAGCGCGGTCACCGCGCGACCGGCGCAGTCAACTCCCCGCGCTTGGAACGCGGCCGGGCCTGCACGGGTTGCGTCTCCCGGCCGCACCGACACTTCATCTCCCCTGGACCTGGGGATGGAGACAGCCTCCAATGCCGCCCACGCCCGGGCACAATGCCGCTGGGCCGCGCGATCGACCCGCGGTTCGCCCTGCGCGGCCCGCAATGGCAACCGACGCCGGACTGGCGCGCGCTCCCGCCTCTGCTGGTCGCTTGTTTTTGCCGGCAACTTTCGGCGCTCTGCGTGGACTCGCAGGCGCAGGCAACGCGTTCCCACGCAAACCGCCCGGCGCTTTACCGCGCCCCCCCCGCTTTGCACGCGGTGCCCCCGACGCGAGGGTTTGCGCAGCGCGCGCACGCGCGCCCGGCGCTTCGGCGCCCGCCCCCCCCTCACCGCTCTTACCCGCGGCGCCCCCGTCGGCAGGACCCCGACAATTGGGTGGAGGCGCGCCCGGCGCTTTACCGCGCCCCACCCGCTGTCCACGCGGGGCCACGATTATCCGGAGAAACTTCTGCCGCCTCAACTCCTCGACGACCGACGGGGGCAAGAACGCGGCCTTCTCACGAACGGTCGACACCGCCACCCGCTGCTGCGCCTCTTTCTCTAGGTCGGCCAACATTACTTTTCCTGGCGCAGAACTCGCCCAGCATCGCACTTGCTCCCACTGCACTGGGGCCTCCAGATCGGTCCGCAGGCACGACAACACTCCGGCCATGTGCAGGCGCGTGCACATCTCGGCTTGCCGCCGACGCGCATTATACACGATCGGCATCTGGTTCCGACGGGAGTTGTCTCCCCCCTCCGTCCAACCGCCCGAGATGACTCGGGCTTCCCAGTCCAATTGTATCGCGCTCGCCCATGTAGGCCCAGCCCGGCGCAAACTGTACGAAGTCACAAGATCCAACTGGGAATCGTCCGCTAGCGAGCCTCGGAATACTTCCTTCAGCGATCGGTTAAAGGCACCCAACTTCACCGGCGCGCCGGAAACTGGATCGAAGACGAGCCCCGTCGGCACAGCCCTTCCTGCTCGATCTTCCCGCGCCGCCAACTTGTGCCAACCATCCCACAAGGCGTCAGCGGCGGACCGCGCGCCACCTAGCCGCCTCGGCAAGCACCAATCGAACGAAGGTCGCCCCTGTCGCTTTCCCTGCTTCCCCCTCGATGCGCGGAACCAGCAAAAATAAACAGACTTCTCTAAAGGCCTAGAGCGCAGCAGGTGCGTGTACCTCACCCACGCGAATACCACCGCCAGCATCCCAGCCGCGAGCATGACTTGCCCAGGCGTTCTCGCGCCATCCAGGAAATCGATCACATGGTAAATCATCTCGGGTTCGACGACAGTGGCCTGGGCCGGCGGTGCTACGGTTCCACTGCCTGGATCACGTGGCACAGGGCGAAACGCATCGTCCAGGCAGAAAGGCGCTTTCAAATGTACGCACATCCACTTCAAGGCGTTCCAGATCCTGACGCCGGACGTCCGTGCGATCGAGAGCTTATGCACGAACTCGGCGACTGCCATGGGTTGCCGCGCCAGACTCGTCGCCGGCTGCCCTTGCCGGCCCGCCCACTCGGCCCACTGCCCCCACACGCGCAAGGCCGTGCGCAGCGTCCCGGATTCGAAATTACTCAGCCTAAACACCGCCGCGGACGAGACGTCGGCGAGCATCTCGGCCTGCGCCTCCTGCAACCCCTGCCCGAGGCCGCTTTCCGGGCGCCATTCAAGCGACACTCGAACTGCGCTGACCGCCAGCTGAACGCGCCCCTCACGCTCTGCCGCCTCCGTCGCCACTGCGGCACAGCGTCTCGGCCGACCGCGGCGCGCGGCGGTAGGCCCACGCCCTTTCCCCGCCGCGGCCCCCGCGCTCACGGCGGGCGCGGCGGCCGCCGCCGCGCCGCCAAATCGCCCCTCCGCGCAAATGCCACGCGCGGGCACCAGCCACGGCGTCACCCGCGCCACGTCCCGAGCCACGGCCCAGGCCGTGGGCACTCCACACTGCTCCGCCTCGTCCGTCGAGCAAAACAAATGCGCTAAATCGCCAGCCGACTCCAGTCCCTCTCTCTGCACGAGCGCAGAAAGGGACTCGCGCTCGGAGGAATCGACCCTCCAATCTAAGAACTCTTCGATGAAGAGCTCTCCGCGCTGCCCGGCCATCAAGCAGCACACAAGCAAGAAACAAACCAACAGCAACCGCTGTCGCCAACGCGCTTTGCTCGCACGATCCAATTGCGCGCTCTGATGCGCGCAAGTCCCTGCGAGCGCGCGCGGGCGTCCCCTTCTGTCATGATTATGGTTCCCTGACCCGAGCCTCCCCGAGCCTAAAGTCAACGCAGGAATCCGATGACCCGCTTGGATTAGTAACATGATCTGCGGGCCCCATAGGGAGGGGGCTCCCGCCTGAGACTTCCTCACAATTCACTCACAGACGAGGTTCCAGCTTGATACTTCCTCCAAATTCAATCCTGAGGAGCCCAAAAGTGACGACGGTTACAGGAATCCGATGACCCGCTCGGATTAATAACGTGATCTGCGGGCCCCATAGGGAGGGGGCTCCCGCCTTAGACTTCCTCACAATTCACTCACAGACGAGGCTCCCGCTTGATACGTCCTCCAATTCAGACCTGAGGAGCCCAAAAGTGACGACAGTTACAGGACTCCGATGACCCGCTCGGATTAATAACATGATCTGCGGGCCCCATAGGGAGGGGGCTCCCGCCTTAGACTTCCTCACAATTCACTCACAGACGAGGCTCCCGCTTGATACTTCCTCCCAATTCAGACCTGAGGAGCCCAAGAATGACAGCGGTTACAGGAATCCGATGACCCGCTCGGATTAATAACATGATCTGCGGGCCCCATAGGGGGGGGGGGGGTCCCGCCTGGCGCGTCCTCACAATTCACTCACAGACGAGGTTCCCGCTTGATACTTCTTCCAAATTCAAACCTGAGGAGCCCAAAAGTGACGACGGTTACAGGAATCCGATGACCCCCTCGGATTAATAACATGATCTGCGGGCCCCATAGGGAGGGGGCTCCCGCCTGAGACTTGCTTGCAATTCACTGACAAACGAGGCTCCCGCCTGATACTTCCTCCAAATTCAAACCTGAGGAGCCCAAAAGTGACGACAGTTACAGGAATCCGATGACCCGCTCGGATTAATAACATGATCTGCGGGCCCCATAGGGAGGGGGCTCCCGCCTGAGACTTCCTCGCAATTCACTCACAGACGAAGCTCCCGCTTGATACTTCCTCCAAATTCAAACCTGAGGAGCCCAAAAGTGACGACAGTTACAGGAATCCGATGACCCGCTCGGATTAATAACATGATCTGCGAGGCCCATAGGGAGGGGGCTCCCGCCTGAGACTTCCTCACGATTCACTGACAGACGAGGCTCCCTCTTGGTGGATGATGGTGATGGGGTGATGACGACGGTGTTTGATGATGGTATATGATTGATGATGATGATGATGATGATGATGGTGATGGTGATGATGATGATGATGATGGTGATGATGATGATGATGATGATGATGAAACTGATGATGATGATGATGATGATGATGATGGTGGTGGTGGTGGTGATGATGACGACGTGATGATGATGATGATGGTGGTGATGATGAGTGCTGATGGTGAGTGATCGTGCGATTATGATGGTAAATGGTGGTGATGATGATGGGGACTAAGTGGTGAGTCAGCGAGTAGTGATGATGATGATGATGATGATGATGCTGATGATGATCGTTCGATGCCGATGATGGTGAGTGATCGTGCGATGGTGATGGTGATGCTGATGGTGATGATGATGAGTGGGGAGTGATGGTGATGGTGATGATGATGCGGAGGAGGAAGCAAAGAGGAGCAGAGGAGAGGGAGGAGGACGAGAGATCCTGCGCGGAGGGTGTGCAGAGAAAACAAGAACCCCACTTAGGATGTGGGGAAAAAACGATGCCCATACACCGATTCTGGCCAGGCCCATCCTGAGCCCAGGATCGGTGCATACGCACTCCTACCTTGGCCAGGAAGGCATGTGCACCGATCCTGGGTCAAGGATGGGCCTTGCCAGGATGGAGGGAAGAGGAGAGGAGGAGGAGGTGGAGGAAGGGGAGGAGGAGGGGAAGGGGGTGGACGAGGAGGAGGAGGAGGATGAGGAGAAGGGGGAGGAGGAGAAAGAGGAGGAGGAGGAGGAGGAGGAGAGGGAGGGGGAGGAGGAGGAGAGGGAGGGGGAGGAGGAGGAGGAGGAGGAGGAGGAGGGGGAGGAGGAGGAGGAGGAGGAGGAGGAGGAGGGAGGAGGAGGAGGAGAAGGACGGGAGGACGGGAGCACGACGCAGAGCCCCGCCCGAGGCCGCGGCCTCTCCCCTGCGCCGCCCGCTCAGCCCGCGCGCCGCCTCACGCCGTCGCCGCCCTCCTCGAACGGCAGGAGCCCCTCCCCCCCAGCCAGGCGCGACCTGCAACAAAGGGCTCCCAACTTCGCGCTTCGCGCGAAGCGCGGAGTGCGAAGAACTTCGCGCGCTCTCGCGCCGCCTCCCAGAGGAGCCGAACCGCGCAGCGCGAATCACCTCGCGCCCTCCAGGGCGCCCTTGGTCTCCCAGCCCGGCGCGACCTGTACGCCCGCCACGTGGCGTCCTCGCCCGCGGCGTGCGCCCCCGGGCCGTCCTGCCCCAGGTCGTGCTCCTGGCTCCGGGGCCCCGAAGCGCTGCGGCAGCAGGCCGCGCGGAGAGCTCGAACCCTTCCCCCGAGGACCTCACCGCACCGCACGGCCCGTCACCGCACCGTTCGGGGACCCCGAAGGCCCCCGTCGCCCGAGACGTCCTCGGAGAGCGGATCGAGTCCAGAACCCTCCGGTGAGCGGAATCCCCCACTGGCTCACCGCACGGTGTGGCCACCGCACCGTCTGGGGGGCCCCCGATCCTGCCCCACGGGCAGCAGGAGTGTCTCCCTGAGCTTGGCCACGTTCGGAGGGCAGCAAGCCGCACCAACTGGGATGGGCGCCGGGGTTGCTAATTGGGTGATCAGTGGACGCCACGGGGATCACGCCTGGCCTAACTTAGCTCATGGGTGGGTTGCTGATGCCTCAAGTGGCTTGGGCGATCCGGGCTAAATGGGCCCCGCCCACTCAACGGAGTTGTCTCATCTCCGGAAGCTACTTGGGGCATGTGCAACCCACTTATAGGCTAGATCAGGTCAAGTATAACCCCTTGGGCATCCACAGATAACCCCCCCTACGGCAGGTTCCCGCCGTGTCGACCCTGGCGTTGGTTCCTGACACCGCGCTGGATCGTTCAGCCTTGAACGATCGGCGGCTTCTCGATCGCCCGATCGCTCCAATCTTGGGCCGATTCTGGGCCACTGACGCGCTCAACCTTGAACGCCCACGGCGGGGTCGCGGCGAGCCGACACGACGCGAACCTGCTGTATCCAATTAGCATCAGGTCGGGCATGTCCTCCTACAGGCGGAGTTTGGAAGCATCATACGAAACCGTAGAAGCATGCTCAAACATACCCAGAGAGAATGCTCACAAAAAAATCGTCCCCCAGACTGTTGTTGGACTCTTCTGGAATGCTCCTCCTGTAGAGGAAAACACGCCCGACTTAGCATTCGCACCCCTGGCGCCCCTCCCCGCACACCACCCTTCGGCGGCGGACAGACCTCCCTCTAGTAAGCCTCCCTTTCGTGAAAACGGCCTACGACCGAAACCGACGGACCTGGACCTAGACCCGCAAAAAGAACGGCCGCGGCGCCCCCTCGCGAACCGAAAACGGCCAATTCACTAATCGACGTGTCGGGGTAGGAGGCCTATCCACCTCCGAACCCTTCGGGGGGCCTGCGCGGGCCTCGCGGGCGCAGCGCGCGGGTGTCGTGGCGCCTCCGTTCCGCCCCTGCGCGCGCCCCTCGCGAGGCGCCGCCCGGGACCTCCGACAGGGCCGTGCCGTGTGCAGACGCGTGCTCTCCGAGACCTCGCCGACGAAGAACGGTCCGTGGACGTCTCCCAGGGCTCGCAACTTCGCGCGTCGCGCGTCGCGCTGCGCGAAGTGCGAATAACTTCGCGCTCTCGCGCCGCCTCCCAGGGGACGAGAGGAGGATGAGGAGGTATCGGAGCCGAAGCGCGAAGCGCGAATAACTTCGCGCCCTCGAGGGCGCCCTTGGTCTCCCAGCCGGGGTCGGAGCAGGCGGGGTCCGAGGATCGCGGCGCTTCGCCAGTGCATCGGCGATGTATCGCCGATGCGTCGGCGACGCATCGGCGACGTCGGCGATGCATCGGCGCCGTCGGCGAGGAAAAAGTCGGTCCCCACATCGAGCCGCATCGCCGATGCATCGCCGATGCATCGCCGATGCATCGCCGATGCGGCGCGATCAACCGATCCCATCTACTCCGACCCTATCTGGGAGGCCTAATGAGACTCAACCGACGAAGAACGGTCAATGACGCAATTTCCGCCACCGCGGAAGCCTGTCCCACGACGGCTCGAACGATCATGACCTCGCGTGCCGCCACAATCAGTAGTAGAACCTTCGGGCCGCCCTGGAACATTTGATCCGTTTTGTTAGATGGTTCTGAGGGAGCCAAACGTGCCGACACCACAATTCCTTGGACCTCTCCCGAGGTGCGCTCTGACCAGAACTTCGAAGTGAACCCCTCGCTTGCGCGACAAAGCAAGGGCAGGCGGCATCGGACCCACTTGAGTTAAGTCGGGCATGTCCCCCTACAGGAGGAATATTCAAAAGCAGTCAGAAACTCGTCTGGGAACGATTATTCGACTATGTTTCGACTTTGTTGGGGTGTTGTTTGCCTATTCATTATTCTTCCAACATCCGCCTGTAGGAGGACACGCTCGACCTGACACTTGAGGTACCTGCCCCTCCCCGGTTTGTTCTTCGCCCGCGGGGAGCTGCGGGGGCCGCAGCGCAGTGCCAGCCGCACGGCCAGCCGCGCACCTCCGTCCGGCGCCTCCTGCTCGGCAGTGGCGCCCCGCGCGTTCTGCCTCCTCACGGCCGCCTCTGGTCGCGTGATGCTCGGCCCTGACCACAAACGCATGACCGCCAACGCTGGGCACACGCTGGCAACTCTCAGTCGCGATGTTGCCACGTGGTGATGAGGCACGTCTACATCGCAGGGCGGGGTGGGGGGTTGGGAAAGGGCATTCCCGCTCCGCTCCTTTACAAAAACCTGGCCCCGACTTGTAGACGCCGCGAGATCTGCGGCGACCTCCAAAACCGACCCGGAGGTTTGGTCCAGGGTCGGACGCCACGCAACTGGGGACACCACAGGGTGCGAACACCGCTACTTCCCAGACCTCTCCAGGAGTGCGTTCTGACCAGGACTTCGAGGCGAATCCAGCGGTGGCGACGAGGGCCTCCCGAGAGGCCGACAAAAAGGCGTAACGAGGGAGGGGTAGCGGCATCAGGGAAACAAACAATGGCATAAACATAAACATTCTGAGGTCCGCGCGGATTCCTCGGATCGGCGATGGACCCCCCCTCCTTGGCGCGCGGAGCGCGCCAGGGGCGGCGCTGGAGGCGCCGCCAGGGGCTTCCAACGCCGATCCGAGAAATCCGCGCGGACCTCAGAATCTTTATGTTTATGTAATTGTTTGTTTCCCTAGGTATGGATACCTTTCCCCGGGTATGGATCCACTCCCCAAGACCGGCTTTTCGCCCGGAGCAGTTTTTGAAAGTCTCGCGAGGCCTGGCGAGGGCCCCCAGATGCCGAAAATGATGAAAAACCTGCCATCATGAATTTCTCATTGCTCTGAAGGGGCCCTGGGACACACAGATAAATACACACAAATAACAGGACTCCCTATATTTCCCATATCTTCTGGGCTTCTGTCTTCCCCCCCCCTTCCCACACTCTCCCATATTTTTCTGGGGAATCGACGATTCATTGTGTCCGTGTGTGTGTGTGTTTTTGTCCCTCCTGAGGCTCGAAGGGGTCGAGCCAGACGCGCAGGCCTGACGCTCCTACTGGCCTGAGCCTGCAATCCCACACCTCCTCCTTCTCCTCCTCTTCCTCCTCCTCCTCCTCCAACCTCCTCCTCCTCCAACCTCCTCCTCCTCTCCCAACCTCCTCCCTCCCTGTTTCCTCCTCCGAGCGACGAGCCTCGGCCTGCTCGGGGCGCGCGCGCGACAGGAGCGCCCAGAGCGTCGCGGCGTCGCCCTTGCGCGCGAGGTGGTGCGCCGGGGTGTCCCCGCGGTCGTCCTGATGGCCTGGGCCGGCCGGCGCGCAGGGCCGGGGGCGGCGCGAGCGAAGGGGCCCTGGGGACACACGAGCAAATACACACAACTAGCAGGATTTCCCGTATTTTCTTTTCTTTTCATTTATTTGCATGTATTTTTTGGGTTTTCACACACATATATATATATATATATATATATATATATATCCCCACATCCTGAGTGGGGGTCTTCTTTTCCCAGAACGCCCTCTCCTTCTCCTCCTCCTCCTCCTCCTCCTCCTCATCCTCCTCCCGCGTCCTTCTCCTAAACCAAACCATACGATACCATTCCGCACATCACCATACCATACCAAGCCATACCATACCAATACCATACCATACCAATACCATACCAAGCCATATCAAGCCATACCATACCAATACCATACCATACCAATACCATACCATACCAAGCCCTACCATACCAATACCATACCATACCAATACCATAGCAAACACTACCAAGCCATACCATACCAATGCAACACCATACCAATACCATACCAAGCCATACCATACCATACCAATACCATACCAATACCATGCAACACCTGTGATGTATCAGGTTTCGTCTGAGCTCCCTCCCACCATACCAATACCATACCAATACCATACCAATACCATGCGACCCTCCCACCTCTCCAGGGAGGCCCCGCCTGAGCGAGGACGCTATTCGAAAACAGTGTCATTTATCAGGTTTCGTGCCCCTCCCACCCCTCCAGGGAGGCCCCGCCTGAGCGAGGACGCTATTCGAAAGCAGTGTCATTTATCAAGTTTCGTGCCCCTCCCACCCCTCCAGGGAGGCCCCGCCTGAGCGAGGACGCTATTCGAAAGCAGTGTCATTTATCAGGTTTCGTGCCCCTCCCATCCCGATCCAGGGAGGCCCCGCCTGAGCGAGGACGCTATTCGAAAACAGTGTCATTTATCAGGTTTCGTGCCACTCCCACCCCTCCAGGGAGGCCCCGCCAGAGCGAGGACGCTATTCGAAAACAGTGTTATGTGTCAAGTTTCGTGCCCCTCCCACCCCTCCAGGGAGGCCCCGCCTGAGCGAGGACGCGATTCGCAAACAGTGTTATTTATCAGGTTTCGTGCCCCTCCCACCCTCCAGGGAGGCCTCGCCTGAGCGAGGACGCTATTCGAAAACAGTGTCATTTATCAGGTTTCGTGCCACTCCCACCCCTCCAGGGAGGCCCCGCCTGAGCGAGGACGCTATTCGCAAACAGTGTTATTTATCAGGTTTCGTGCCCCTCCCACCCTCCAGGGAGGCCCCGCCCCGCCTGAGCGAGGACGCTACTCGCGAACAGTGTTCTTTATCAGGGTTCGTGCCCTGCCATCCCCTCCAGGGAGCCCCCGCCTGAGCGAGGACTGTAGTCGCGAACAGTGTTCTTTACCAGATTGCGTGCCCCTCCCACCCCTCCAGGGAGGCCCCGCCTGAGCGAGGACAGCATTCGCGAACTTATCAGGTGTCGTGCCCCTCCCACCCCTCCAGGGAAGCCCCGCCTGAGCGACGACAGTATTCGCGAACAGTGTTATTCATCAGGTTTCGTGCCCCTCCCACCCCTCCAGAGAGGCCCCGCCTGAGCGAGGCCGTTGAAACGCAAGCGCGCCCTTGACGAAGCGGCCACGGCCTCCGCGGCTGCGGACATGACAGTCCGCAGCCGCGGCCTGCTCGAGGAGTGAGATGCTGCTCCAGAGTGGCGGCCATGAGGGGTGACATACTGCTCAAAGGAGCGAGAGTCCGCAGCCGCGGCCTGCTCGAGGGGTGAGATACTGCTCCAGAGTGAAGACCACGAGGGGTGAGATACTGCTCAGAGGGGCGGCCCGCTCCTGCAATCGATTGATCTCGATATTCCGCGAAGTTCCCAGCTGTGAATGCGCGTGAAAACACGGGTGCCGAAAGACATCGACACCGTCCTCATCGTTAACCATTGCCTTCATCACCACTTCTTTCTTCAACGCTTTCTTCTCCTTCCTCCAGGGAGGCCCCGCCTGAGCGCCTCCAGGGAGGCCCCGCCTGAGCGAGGAGGGTATTCGCGAACAGTGTTATGTATCAGGTTTCGTGCCCCTACCACCCCTCCAGGGAGGCCCCGCCTGAGCGAGGAGGGTATTCGCAAACCATGTGATAGAAAAGGATGGAGAGGGCGAGGGCAGGTCGGCAATTCCCACCAGCCCTTCAGGGCGTCGGTGGTTTAACGAGTTTCCTCTTCCACCCCTTCTTCTTCCCCTTCGGGGAGGGGTTTACCCCTCCCCCTACCCCCTCCCCACTGACCTGGACAGGGGGGGCCGCGATCGGTCAGAGCGTCCAAGATCGACCCCTGGGAGGGCTAAAATTCGACACCCCTCACGAGGATCGTGGCTCCTGAGGGGGGGGCTGAAATTTAGGAACCCCCCTTCGTTGATCGATCTCCTCCAATATGGCTCCGAGAGACGTCTTGGACCCGCTCTTGGGCCCTGCGCGCGGGCGGGCAGAGCGCCGCCCGCCCGCCCGCAAGGCCCAAGAGCCCACCAAAACGTTCGAAGATACTTCCAAGACGCCACCAGGGAAGAGGAAGATGAGGAGGAAGAGGAGGAGGAGGAGGAGGAGGAGGAGCAGGAGGTGGGGGAGGAGGAGGAGAAGAGGAGGAGAAGGCGGAGGAGGAGGAAGAGGGGGAGGAGAACAGCTGCCGATCATCGGCGCTCTTCGTTCGAGCGCCTGGTGTAGGATGGGCTGGTGGGGATACGCGAAGCGTCAAGAATTCATGACAAAATGATCCTTGATTCCGCTATCCCAATAACATCATTATGTGGGGAACTCCGTTAGCATAAGTTTGATACATTTTCTGGGTCTTCAGCCCCCCCCCACTTCCCAGATTCTCCCACATCTTCTGGGGGACCGACGATTCATTGTGTCTGTGTGTTCTTCCCCTCCTGAGCGAGGTGTGCGGCCCCAGACACGGCCACGCCATGAAAACGTCAGGACTGGACAAGCGCGCTCCACTACTCGCGAGGTGACTGCTCGCAAACGGCCTGGAGTCGCCGTGGAAGATCTACGATACATTGCATCGAGGCAGGCATCTGCTTTTTTCGGACGTTTGCGAGCGGGCACTTTGCGAGCAGTGGAACGCGCTCGGTGGAGGACGGGCAATTTTCGGCCGTCTTCGGCCCGTGGGGGCCATCGCCCGGCTTCGGGAGCGTCAACAAAACGACTCCGGATGAAAAACCGGTCCCGGGGGAGGGGTCAGGAAGAAGGAACGCCATGAGCAGAAAACTCGAGGCGCTCCGCGCGGATTTCTTGGATCTGCGCTGGGCCACGCGTCAGGGACGGCGCCGGAGGCGCCGCACGGGGGGTTCAGCGAGGATTCCAAAAACCCGCGCGGCACGCGAAACATGTATGTTTATGGTGTTTTTTCTTCTTCGAGACAGGGCCTGCGTCATGCACCGCGCGGATGCTGCAGGGTGGGGCCGAATCGCACACATCATCCTGGACAGGCGAAGCGCTGCACGCGCGGAAGCATTACCAGGCCTGGCCTGGCGCTCATGGGGAGGGCGCCAGGTTCGGAAAGAAGGGCTCTGGAGTCAGAGAGTTGGGACCCACAGTCGGAGAGTATGGAGCCGAGGTTGGGCTAGGAAGCCCAACTTCGGGGCCCCAGAACCATGAGGTGACGGACCGCGTGGTGACCTTGAAGCCCCCCACGACCTCACCGCGCGGTCTGTGACCGCACGGTTGTGGGACCCCATAGACCCCAGTCGCCCGAGGCGTCCTCAAAGAACGACCAGAGTCCCAAGACCGCGTCGTGACCCCGCAGTTTTACTGACTCACCACGCGGTGTGGTCACCGCGCCGATTGAGGGCCCCCGACCAACTGAGGTCGCCGGATTGGCCCAGATTAAATCCAGAATTCTGCCGATTTGCAACGGAGTGAGCGAACTGAGCGGAACCATGCTGGATTTGACACATTAAGTGGGCCTTTGCCGCACTCAGCCGAATCGCACTGGATCAAACAAAATCGGAGGATGGGGGGTGAGATCGCAGTGAAACGGAGACCCTCCACCGGGAAATCGGTTTCGGTTTCGCGTTCGTGTCGTGCGTGCGGGCGAGGCGAAGCTGCGCGTGATCCTCCTATAGCTAGGCCGAAGTAGGAGCGAAAGTCAGTTCCCCGCCCGCCGGTGGCTGGGAGGTGTCTCAATTGGGCCGGGCGGTGTCCCAGGTGTCCCAGGTGTCAGTAGGAGCGAAAGTCCGTTTCCCGTCCGCCGGTGGCCAGAAGGTGTCCCAGTTGGGCTGGGCGCTGTCCCTGGTGTCCCGGGTGTCCCGGGCGTCCCGGCGCTAACGCATGTCGCTAATTTCATAATTCATTTGTTTCGGCGCCTGGGGCGGGCTTTCGTATCCAACCCAGCTTATCTTCTCCAATCCCTCTTCCCCAATCCAACCCATCTTATCGTATCCAAGCCATCTTGTTTCATCTTATCTTATCCCACCCAATCCAATCCACCCAACCCAATACATCAATTCATTTGCTTCTGCGCCTGCGGCGGGCCAATCCAATCCATCTTATCTTATCCAATCCATTTCTTTCAATCCAACCCATCTGATATTTTCCAACCAATCTTATCCCATCCAATCCAATCCACCCAACCCAATCCATCACTTCATTTTTGTCGGCGCCTGCGGCGGGCTTTCTTATCCAATCCAGCTTATATTATCCAATCCATCTTGTCCAATATTATACAGATTATCTTTTCCAACCCATCTTGTCTCATCTTATCTTATCTCACCCAAGCCAATCCACCCAACCCAATCCATCAATTCGTCTTCCTACGGCGGGCCAATCCAATCCATCTTATAGTATCCAGTGCATCTCTTCCAATCCAACCCATCTTGTCTTAGCCAATCCATATTATCCCATCCAATCCAATCCACCCAACCCAATCCATCAAATCATTGTTGTCGGCGCCTGCGGCGGGCTTTCTTATCCAATCCAGCTTATCTTATCAAGTCCATCTTGTCCAATACAATCCATATTATCTTATCCAACCCATCTTGTCCCATCTTATCTTATCCCGCCCAATCCAATCCATCCAACCCAATCCATCAATTCATTTGTTTCTGCACTTGCGGCGGGCCAATCCAATCCAGAGAGAAAGAGAGAGATGAGATCAAGGTGACAGGCTGGAGGTCAGTCACGGTGGGCATTTGATCTCAATTCCCCCCAACCTCCTTATCGCCCGTAGGGCGGTCGTATAGGTAAGCGGGACCATGCCAGCACGGGTGTGGGAAACCAAAAGGTACATACCTACATACCGATACCGCTACGCCCTGGACCTCTCCCAGGGTGCGTTCTGACCAGAATATCAAAGTGAATTCAGCGGTGGCGACGAGGGCCACCTTGGAAGCGCAAAAGGAAGAAAACTGCAGAAATAACTGATAGGGGTACCTTTCCTCCACTGAGGGTATACCAGCGCCGATGCCGAATAAACCCTTCCAGGAGTTGCAGCATTCTAATGGCGGGTTGTTCGACGAAGGCGGGGGGGGCTCTTGGAAGGCAGGGGCGTTCTCCGAGGGGCCCGGAGGCTTCTCTCCTGGACGCCCGGCATAGGCAAATCGGCGTCGAGCGAGGAGGGAAGTGAGCACGAGAAAGCTATCTCATCGGGCAGATGGTAATGGCGGGTGACCTAAATGGGGGTGAAGAAAAGGGCCCTGAAGGAGCCATTTAGGGCCCTTTTTGAAGCCAGTTGGTGCCCAAAAGGGGCCCGAGAGGGCCACTTTCGGGCCTTTTTCTTCACCCCCCATGTGGGTCACCCCCCATTACCACCCGCCCGAAAAAGGCGGGGGCTTCTCAGAAGCCCTCCAGCCTTCACAGAGATGTCTGTGCCGTCGGGAAAGGCTTAGAACACTTCTGAGAAGGCCAGGGGGATTTCCGAGCCTTCTGAGAAGGCCCGCCCCTTCTCACTTCCCCCCCGATCTCGCCGCCGAGTAAGGAGAAGACGGGGCACGATGCACAACAACAAATGGCGACTTCTCGTTTCTTCTGGCACTTTCTATTGGTCCCCAACTTCCCCCGGCACCGGGGGTAACCCAAGCAACCACTCCGTCAATGGCACCTCTCGGACGAAGTCTTGGAACCCAGTTGTGCCGACGTCTCAAGCGAAACGGGCCAGAGCACCTCAATTAAGGGCCTCTCGCCGTAGCCCAGGGTTCGGAGGATGTCTCAGGCAGAACAGGCCTGAGTACCTCGCGATGGAACACAAAATTGTGAGGATGTCTTAAGCGAAACGGTCAAGCGCACCTCGCGAGCCGTACACCCACAGGTGTGAATTGCGAGGATGTCTCAAGCCAAGCGGGCTGAAGAACCTCAAGTCAGGGCAGCTCGGAGCCCGAGGTTCTCAGGATGTCTCAAGTAAAACGAGCCTGAGCACCTCGTAAACCGCATCTTCAAGCCAGAGTTGCAAGGACGTCTCAAGCCGAACGGTCAGAGCCACGGATTGCGAGGATGTCTCAGGCGAAACGGGCCAGAGCACCTCAATTCAAGGCATCTCGAAGCCTGGGGTCCTGAGGATGTCTCAAGCGAACAACGTAATGAGGATGTCACAGGTGAAACGGGACCGAGTATCTCAAGTCAGGGCATCCCAGAAGCCAGGGTTGCGATGATGTCTCAAGCGAAAAGGGCCTGACCACCTCGTGAACCGCATCTTCAACCCAGAGCTGCGAGGACGTCTCAGGCCAAACGGTCAGAGCCAGAGATACCCAGGATGTCTCAGGTGAAACGTGCCTGAGTACTTAGCGAACCACATCTTGGACCCTCAAGGTGAGGACGTCTCAAGCGCAACGGGCCAGAGCACCTCAATTCAAAGCATCTCGAATCCCGACTCCCCATCATGTCTCAGGCCAAACAGGCCTGAGTACCTCGCGAACTACATCTTGGAATCCAGAGTTGTGAGGACGTCTCAAGCGAGACGAGCTAGAGGACATCAAGTCAGGGCATCTTGGAGCCCGATGTTGCGAGGATGGCTCTCTGTAGGCCATGGGGCGCACCAAACTCTTGCGAGGGCAACCCCTCTCGGCACCTCCCCGGCACCGCCGCTGGGGTTGACGGGGTCGCACGAATCTGTCCCGGGCGACCCGGGCACCGGGGCTCAGGTGCACTGTCCCCCTCGCCAGCCAAGGCAAGCCCTGGATGGGGCCCAAACAGCGCCAAAGCCAACCGAAGTGGCCACTAAGGACCATACTGCTCCAAAACACACCTTCACCCCATAAAAATACAGGACCGTTCGAGGCATCCTCACAAGCTGGGCGCGATCGGCCCCGTGACACACCCTTCGTCGGCAGAGCACCAGCCCACATCACCAGGCACGATCGAGCCTCGTCCAACCCTGGCGACGAGAAGTGTCCCGAGAGCATTGTCAACAAGAGCATTTGTCTGACAGCAATGCGAGCATTATCGTTGTCCCCCTGGTCCTCAATCATCCTGCTACTTCTCCTCCCCCTCCCCCATCGCTTCGCACTCCTCAACGGTTGCTCGCAACTGCGGGGACGTCTCATGCGAAAGTGGCTGGAACCCCTCGCACGCGGCATCCCTTTGCTCATAATTGCGGGGACGTCCCAGGCGAAAAAGACAGGATACTTCGCGGGCGGCACCTTGAGGCCTAGCGCAGCGAAGATGTCTCAAGCGAAGAGGACGAAGTAACCTCAGGTTACGGTATCCCCGAGCCCAGAAATTTTGAGGATGTTACAAGCGAGATGGGCTAGACCACCCCTCGCGTAGCGTCCAGGAGCCCAGGTTTGCGAGGATGTCTCATGCGAAACGGGGCAGACCATGACCATGTCAAATCTGGTCGTCTCGGAACGCTGCTTTGTGAGGATGTCTCATGCGGAACGGACCGAACCACCTCAGCATGTTGCCAATGTCTCGACGCGCGGTCCCATCGGACCGCATTCGTTCCTACCGCCAGTGCCCCCCAGCACCCGGCACCTGCCGGGCGACCCAGGAACACTCCAAGACAAAGCTTCTTGAACGGAAATAAACACGAAGTTGCCAGGTGTTGTCCATCACCAGCAGCGGCCACTGTTGGGCAGGCGACTTCTCTGCCTCAAGTGGACGACGCCAGCGGGGACACCGGCAGCGAGCCATGCCCAACATCGACAGGGGCTGCTGTCCATCTTCCTACCTGTTCTTTCCGTACCTTCGGTCCCACCGACACCTGAGAAAACGTCTTATCGGGAGGAGGAGGAGGAGGAGGAGGAGGAGGAGGAGGAGGAGGAAGAGCAGCAGGTGGAGGAGGAGGAGGAGAAGGAGGAGGAGGAGAAGGAGGAAACTTTGGAGGAGGAGGAGGAAGAAGAAGGAAGGGGGAGAGGGGGACCAGGGATCCGTGGATCCAGCGCGTGGGCGCCAGGTCCGTGGATCGGGGTGGGCCCCCCGACGCAGGAACCGAGTGCCGCCTCGCTTGGCGAGAGCGCGCGCCGATGTCGCATGGAAGCGGGACGACGTCGCTAGTCAACGCGCAAGGAGGAGGAGGCGGAGGAGGAGGGGGAAGAAGTCGAGGAGGAGAAGGGATTAGGGAGGAGGAACGAAGCCCCCTGCATTGCCTGACGATCCCCGCCTCCTTCTAGCGGGCCTCCGCCCCCCTCGTGCCCTCCTACTTTTTCGGCGTGCCGCCAGCCTGGGTCGGCACCGAAGCGCAGCAGCAGCAGCACAAGACCTCTGGTGGGCATGTTTTCCACCATCGCCACCATAAGTAGGAGAAGGAGGGGGAGGGGGTCCTCCTCCTCCTACTCCTCCTCCTCCTCCTCCTCCTCCTCCGCCTCCGCCTCCTCCTCCATCTCCTCCTCCTCCTCCTCCTCCTCCTCCTCCTCCTCCTCCTCCTCCTCCCCCTCCTCCTCCTCTTCGTTCGCCTCATCCTCCACCTCCTTCCTCCAACTTATGGTGGTAATGGTGGTGGTGGAAAACAAGCCCATGCACCTCGGCTCTGAAGCTCCAGGTGCGGAGGCTTGGCACGGCACGCGAGGTGCAGGGGCGTCTCGTGCAGCGTGTGCGCGCCGTAGTCGGGGGGTGCTCTGATGTCTCCCGTCCGCATGTCGGGGTCACAGCGCGCGCGCAGCAGCGCGGACGTCGCGTGGACGTGGCCGAAGCCCACAGCTCCATGGATAGGCGAGGGGGGGGGCGAGATGATGTGGGGGATGCTTGCTCAAGAGGGGAAGCATCGATCTGGAATCGACGACACACCGCCGACAGATCCGCAATGGGCCACCGACACCGAAACCGCACGTTCCTGGGTAGACTAGGGTGCCCAAGGCCCGGCTGGCGAACAATTAGCGATTAGGGGTCGACCCTTACACCTCAAGGACATTCCCGAGCTTGAGCTGGACCGAGTCGGAAACTGATCGGATCGCCAACGAACCGTCCCGAACAGATTCGAAATCGGCTCGTCGCACCGTGCTCCGGCTGACCCTGGCCGATGTCCGTGAATCGAGCAACATCTAATTGAGTCGTATCGAGTCAGATTGCAAGGGGCACTGCACCCCCCCCGTCTTGGAGGCGGCCGGACGTCTGAGCTGCTTGTGTCCCGAGAAAATCGGTCACGATGGGAGGATGAAGGCAAATACGCTCAAAATTGGTCCCCAGACTTCTCCCATCCATCTGGTGCAGTTGTTCAGCATTGACCTGCTTCTGGAGCCACAGAAGGGGTGCTGAGCGGCGTAACAAAAAAACGTCTCGAACCCAGAGCCTCGAGCCTCGCCCGCCCTGTCCTGCTCGCAGGAGCGAGTGTTGGGCCACCTCAGCCCTCCAGCCCGCAGGAGGAGGAGCAGGAGGAGGAGGAGGAGGAGGAGGAGGAGGAGGAGGAGGAGGAGGAGGAGGAGTGGGAGGAGGAGGAGGAGGAGGAGGAGGCGGAGGAGGAGGAGGAGGAGGAGGAGGGAGGAGGACTGCTTCGGACTGCTTTGTTTGACCAGAGGCCCAGTCGTGAGACGCCCCCAAGGCAAGCGCAACCACCCCGCACTCGGAGCTGACGCCCCGAATGCGACATGACCCCGCCCCGCCCTATAGGTGCGTCACCCTCCTGGGGACTGGGATGAACACTACTCTCCCCGCGGACCGTCCTGCATCAGCCACATCGCCGCAAGGCTGAAAACATCGGAAGGCGACTGACGGCCTCGCTCAATCGTAACCCTCGCGCACGAAGGATCGCCTTCGGCGCCCCCTCACGACGGGGGAAAAGACCTCGCCGAATGCGGGAGAGACTTTCTGCGCCCTTCCTGGTCGGCCGTCCCGGGCACACGTTGATCATGTGCCTGGGATCGCTGCTTGTGGTGGAACGTCCACACCGCTGGCAAAGTATCACAGCGAATTCAGACCAGAACGCGAGTCGGTGAGATCCGTCGAGCTGCTCAGCTACCCCGCCCTCGGCGGCAAGACACGGCGTAATGCGACCTCCATCGAGTGCCTGCGCCAGACTGAGGAGGCTGAGGCTGAGGAGGAGGAAGAGGAGGAGGAGGAGGAGGAGGGAGTCCAACAACCCCCTGTCGGCCCCCCCCCTGACTTGGCGCGTTGCCGAAAATGTCGACGGGCCAGTCGGGTGCCGCGCGGCCTTCGAGCAGCGCTTGCACCACCGGGGTGTGGCCCCGGCGCGCCGCGAGCAGCAGGACGGAGAGGCCCTGCCTTATCAGAGGCCTCCCAAACTTTGGGGCCCCACTGGATGGGGTCCGAGGATCGCGCGGCATCGCGTCGGCGATGCATCGGCGCCGTGGGCGTGGGCCAAATCGGGCTCCGCATCGAGACTCAACACCAATGCATCGGCGACGCGGCTCGCTCCTCCGACCCCATCTGCTCGGATCCCATTCGGGAGGCCTGGGTGCCTGTCGCACAGCATCGGGTTGGCACTGGCCAGGAGCAGGCCTCTCACAATGTGGAGGCTGCCCTGCTCCGCTGCCAGAGACGGCCAGGCCGGACGAGGAGGGGGGCAGCGCATGACAGACGAGAACAGTGGGCCTTACGCGAGACGTTCTAGCAACCTTGCTCGGCGGCTTGCGCGGGCCGCCAGCGCGTCACGCTGAACTGGAGACCGAGGGCGCTGACGCGCGACCTCACGCGGGCAGCTTGCGCGCGAATGTCAGCGCAGTCGGATCCGTTTTTCCTGCGTCGCCCCCGTGGAAGAGCAACAACAGCAAAACCTACGCGACATCGTTCGGAGGTCCGCGCTGATGTCTTCGAGCGGCGCCGGAGGCCCCCTCCCTGGCGCGCGGAGCGCGCCAGGGGTGCGGTGCCAGAGGCGCGGCCAGAGGGCTCTCCAACGCCGATCGGAGAAGTCCGAGCACAGGCCTCCGACAACGCAGGCTCATGCAATTTTGAAGGGGGCCCTGGGACACACAAATAAATACAAACAAATAACAGGATTCCCTATATTTTCCTACATTTTCTGTGTTTTTGTCTTCCCCCCACTTCCCATATTTTCCCATATTTTCAGGGGGATCGACGATTAATTGTGTCTGTGTGTTTTTCCCTCCGGAGATTTTTGTTTTCCGAGCACAGGGGCGGGCAGCGAATCGGCTTGCGCAGCTGGCTTTCCCAGCGCCCCTTTGCAGTGGAGGCGACCATGCGTCACAGCTCGCGGCTCAGGAGGTAAAGGGGGGGGAGCTGAATGGGGGGGTGAAGATAAAAAGGGCCATGACGAGGAGCTTTTTGGGCCCCTTTTGGAGCCACCGTCGGGGCTCTCTTTTTTGCTGTCCCACCCCCGCGTACCACCCGCCAACACCCACCCCCCCATCGGGAGGGGGGTCCAAGAGGGGGGGGTGCAAATCATGACTGGCGGCACGTGCGCGGCCCAGCGGGGGGACCAGGGACGTCATGAAGCAAGACGAGGCGCCATGAAATCAGGGGAAATATCATGGCCCCCGCCATGAGATCCCCCCCCTAATCATCACCCCGTCTTTGCCGCCCCCGACCCCAGTGAGGCCACCCGCCACTGCCACCCGCCAGTACCACTTCAGTACCCCCCTCCTCCGGGGCCCAATGTAGGTCACCCGCCCAGCGAGGTTGGAGGAGCAGGAAGCTTCGATGCCATCCTGGCTCTGGCGGGGCCCCTTGGAGGGATAGGAGTGGCAGCGAGCCTTTGTAATGCCAAAGATCCGATGCCGTGCTTTTTTAAACAAAAATCCCGACCCATTCCAAAGACCGGTATTTCATCCCGAGTCCTTGTTTCACTGTCCTGGGGCCCGGCGAGGGTCCCTAAATACCTAAAATTGCGAAACAACCCGGTATTGTTTTTCCAGCACGTTGGATCCCTGGGGTTACTATGGCATTCCGATGCCCTCCTCGCTCTGGCGGACCCTTCCTGGAGGGGTGCCGCCCGTCTGGCCTGTCCCACATCCCCCCGTGCTGGCGGCGCCCACCAATGGGGTACCCTTCCGAGCGGGCGGCGGGAGGGGGACCCGTACAAGCCGAAAGGGGGGCCTGCCAGAACCCCCACCCCGGCAGGCGAGGCGCCTCCCTGGCCACCGCTGGGGGCCTGCTATGAAGAGAAGGCCCCTGCAATGAACACTTATAAAAATGGAAGGAGAAAAAGGCGAGTAAAGAGGAGCACGAGCGGGACGAGCATGTAGAGTAATACAGGCGACGAGAAGGGCGAATAGAGAAAGAGATCATAACATCCCCACAGTGATCACCCCGACACGCGAACCCGTTTAGCAAACGCGCCCTCCGAAATTCGCCGGCCCAACGGGCCAGAGGCGTGCTAAGATCTCCGGGAACTACTTAACAATATTTCTAGTTCGCGCGCGCGGGGCGGCCCCTGGGGAGCCCCGGACGAAAAGTACCCCGGCCGATCCCCAGGGGGGAGGCTATTTTTCGCCACCCCTCACGAGGATCGTGGCCTCCGAGGGGGGGTTGCCAACGACTACTCCCCCTCCCGCCCCAAGGGGCCCCCTGGAGCCCCCCAAGAGGCTCCAGGGGAGCCCAATACGCCGCCAAGGAGCCCCAAGACGCTCCCAAGAAGCCCCCAAGAAGCCCCCAAGACGGCCCCAAGGGCCCCCAAATAGCGCTCCAGGGCCGGCGGAATGAGCGAAGCGATTAAATAATCGAACAAAGCAGGGCTGTTCAACAAACGCCCAGGGCCGTTTAGTCAACGCCAATTGTCGGGTCCGGGTGTTTTTTGCCTCCCTTGAAGGACATGTGCGTGATAGAAATGCAAGCAGGCAAGCGCGTCCAGCTACTCGCAAAGCGACACTGCTCGCAAGTGGCCTGGATCCGCCGAGGGGGGGTCTGCGATGGATGACGTCGAGGCAGACGGCTTTATTCTGACGATTGCGGGTAGGCACTTTGCGAGTAGTGGAATGCGCTCGGTGAGCATGGGCACTGGACGCCCCGGCCGAAGCTTTTCGAGCGGGGCTGGCCACCGAAACTGGTTGAAAATGGACCGAAGCTGACCGAAGAGGCACCGATGCAAGGGCGCCCTACGCAAAACTATCCTCCGTTCTCATCCGTTTTGACTGCGGTTTCTCAGAAGCCCCGCCGCCTTCTTCAGAGCCGAACCTTAGGTCGGGCACGTCCTCTTACAAGAAGATTTCGGAAGAAACGGAAATGATCGTCAAACCATAATCAAACATAGTCAAACAGGGCACGACAAATCGTCACCATACGAACTTGCTACCATTCTTGAATATTCCACCTGTGGAGACACGCCCGACTTAGGCCGAAACCCCCTGGCTCCACCCCCCTGTGGGCGCCGCCAGCCCTTACCTCTGGACGTCTGACGAAACGTGTCTGCTTCAATCCGCGGCCCCAGAACTCCCATCCGCTTCCCCGCGGGTGCTTTTCACCCAGGAACCAATTTGACGAGACGGTATGTTCTCCTAGCTACTAAAATGGTTGTATAACTTACACTGGCTGTCTGGGCCATCTAAACTGCAACAGACAACCTGAAAAGAAGCGACGAACATATGTAGACGCACGCACACACGAGTGCATGCACGTCATATTAAATCTACCCCAGCCCCAGATCTGTCAAGTCAACCCGAATAACCCTGGAAGGTCTGTAAAACCCTCCCAATGAGGGACAAGTAATTCTTCTGCTCGGCGGCCTTATTGACGGACTGGGGTCCGACCAACAGGGCGACCACCGACTCGAATAGCACTGGTGCAACAATGCGCGCATCGCCCGCGGTGCCCGGAGAAACGCCAGTGAAGGAAGATGCCTCACGTATACCGAACCACCCCAAATGGCCTTCCGTCGGCGGTATCTTTGCCCGCCGGACGAGGGCGCGGCACCGCCGCGGGGCGCCGCGGCCCTGTGCTCGACCAAGGCTTACGCGTGCACGTCCTGGGCATGTGCCGACGGGCCGCGATCTGACCTGCAAGCGAGGAACGCCCCGAAAAACTGCCTACGCGGCGCCAAAAATAACACCCCACGAAAAATACAACGCACGCAACACACACGCACAACACACCACACACACACCCCACAACACACACACACATCACACACAGCATACGCAACGCACAAAACACACACACACACACACAAACACGCAACACACAATACACAACACATCACGCACCACACACAGCACACCCAGCACAACACACCACACACATACACCCAACAAAGCGTACCACACACAACACACACCACACACAATGCACACAACAAACAAAAAACACACACAGCACACCACGCACCACGCACAACACTCACGCAACACACCCAACACACAACACACACGAAGCTGACAACGCGCACACGACGCACATGACACGCACGCGCATGCAACGCACACACACGCACACGCAACACGCAACACAAACAACAAACACACAAGTCATACAACACACACACACACACGCCCCGCAACACGCACGCGGCACACACAACGCACCACCCACAAACCACAACGCACCTGACACACACACACACCATACTAGAACCACGCGCGCGCTTCGCGCGCGCTTAGGTTCTAGCTAGGATCGTCACCGTCGTCATCATGAACATCACCATCGCCATCATTCCCCCCGCCAGGGCTAATGTACATCGTTTCTGGATGCTTCTGGCCAGAATACGAAAGAAGTTTCTGTAGTTAGAGTCTCTGGGGGAAGTCGCGGGGAAGCTTTTGTTGTCTTTGGTGTTGCGTCGCCAGGAGGTCTGGGCTCCCTCCTCCTCGTGTTCCTACCTCCTCTCTGGACGTCCGATGTCGTGATGCTTTCTGTGCGCGGGGGGATGTGTTTTTTTTCATCCTGAGTCGTTTTCTGACTGTCCCGGGACCCTGCGAGGGGCCCCGGAGGCCGAAAATTGACCGGGGCCGCCGTCGTGAGTTTTCCAAGACGTCGGAGGTCCAGGTCGTGCTTCCCGCCTCCCCAGACCTCCGACGTCGTAATTTTTGCGACCTCGGGCCCAGGAATCGATTGGGAAAACGCACATGGGAAGGCAAGAAATGATGGACCCATCATTTCGTACCTGTGCCTTGATCAGTGGGACGGGCTTCGCACCGCCGCACATCACAAGACACGCTCGAGCGGATCCAGCCGTGGCGACGTCGGGGACTGCAGAAGGTCGCAAGGACACGGAATCTGAAAGGAAGAAAGAGAAAGAGAGAGAAAGAGAGGGAGAGAGAGAGACAGACAGACAGAGAGCGAGAGAGAGAGAGAGAGAGAGATGAGAGAGAGAGAGAGAAGAAGACAGAGAGAGAGAGAGGCAGAGAGAGGAAATGGAGAGGAGGCGAGCTTGAGTCAACGAAAGTCGCAGGGAAGGGGGCAGGGGGAAGAAGGCCAGAGAGCGCTGAAGGATACAAATACTGGAACCCTCTTGGGATTTTTGGGGGGCCTCGTCCGGCCGCTCGCTGGGAGTTTGACGTAGCTTCTTGGGAGCCTCTGAACCTGTCGGGGGCCTCCTGGAAGCAGGTTCGAAGCATTGTGGGGGCCGATTTGGGGCTTCTCGGGGCCTCCTTTGGGCCTCTTGGGGGTCTCCTGGGGCCTCTTGAGGGGCCTCCTGGGGGCCTCCTGGCGGCCTCTTGGGGCGGAAGGCTCGAGCTTGCGGTTCGTGGTCCCCCTCTGGGCCCCCTCTTGGGCCCGTCTTGGGGCCCTCTTGGGCCATCTTGGGCGCCTCTTGGGCCGTCTTGGGGCCCTCTTGGGCTGTCCTGGGGCCCTCTTGGAAGCTTCTTGGGCCGTCTTGGGGCGGTCTTGGGCGCCTCTTGGGCCGTCCTGTAACGTCGGAAAGCCCAAAAGACAACTTTGTTGAAAATGTACGTTTTACGAAGGGAATGGGCCAATTTTTGCGTCTAGGGGCCCTCTTGGGACGCATGTTGGAGGCTTCTTGGGGCCTCTTGGGGGCGTCCTTGGACGTCTGGAGGCCATCTTCAGCATCTCGGAGCCCTCTTGGAGGCCTCTTGGAAGTTTCTTGGGCCGTCTTGGGCGCTTCTGGGGCCGTCTTGTCTGACCGGGGAGGCCTCCGGCAAGCCCCGACGAGCCTCCGGGCCTGCCGGGGCCCACATTTGTGGTCGAGGTCCCGGCCCCGGGCCCCCGGACCCGGTGCGCCGTTATATGTATACACATAACACACAACTCATACAAAACACACAACGCGCACGGCACACAACACACAACGCACACAACACACGCATCGCACGCAAAGCACAACACACCACACACAACACACCCGACATAACGCACCACACACGAAGCCACATCACACCACGCACAACGCACCCAAGACCAACAGGGCTTCGTCTCGCATGGCAAACGTTATCAAAGCTTGGCGGGGCCTAGCGGAGCCGAGCAAAGGCTGCATGGGCTTAGCAGAGCCCGGCAGGGCGTAGCAGGGCGAGGGAGGGCTTACCACAGCTTACCACTGCTTCTAGCAGGGCTTACCAGAGCTCAGCAGGGGTCACCAGAAGTGAGCAGGGCTTCGCAAGCTATAACATGGCCTTGCAATGCTCCACGGGACTGCTCGAGCAGCAGAGCTTAGCAATCGCCCCCCCGCACTGGCGGCCGATACTTGGGCTGGGCCGTCAAAATCAATTCATGACAACCTCATTCAAGATTGTTGTACTCCAACCTTCGCCGACGACCCGTTTCCATTGGCTTCCTAGTTGGTGCCTGTGCCTTCTCGAGGGGCGCATGGAATTCTCATTGGATTTCGATAAAGGGCACCTTCTTTTGTCCCGATCCAACTCTTTTTCAACTTGATTACCTTCCTGTTGGAAAGACATTGAATTCGCAGGAGGCCTTCCTTGGAGTACCTATTGCATTCCAATAAGAAAGCTTCCTAGTGAACCCATGCCCAAAGCCAAACCCGAATCCAAACCCAAAAGCCAACCCAAACCTCCATGTCCACAAGTCAAACGTGACACTAGTAGTAGTAGTCGTGGTCGTGGTGGTAAAGGGTAATGTTCGTGGTAAGAGTAGCAGTCGTGTTGCTCGTAGAAGTAGTAGTCTTAGTCGTAGAAGCAGTAGCAGTAGCAGTAGCAGTAGCAGTAGCAGTAGCAGTAGCAGTAGCAGTAGCAGTAGTAGTCGTAGTCGTAGGAGTAGTAGTCGTAGTAGTAATAGTAGTAGTAGTAGTAGTAGTAGCAGCAGTAGTAGTAGTAGTAGTAGTAATAGTAATAGTAGTAGCGGTAGAGGTAGTATCAATAGTAGCAGTAGTGGTGGTAACAGTGGTAGTAGTAGTAGTAGTCGTAGTAGTAGTAGTAGTCGTAGTAGTAGTAATAGTAGTAGTAGCAGTAGTAGTAGTGGTAGTGGTAGTAGTAGTAGTAGTAGTAGTAGTAGTAGTAGTCGTAGTAGTAGTAGTAGTAGTACGGGTAAGAATAAGAGTAATATTAGTAGTAGTAGTAGTAGTCGTCGTCGTCGTCGTCTCAGCAGGTAGTAGTAATAGTGGTTGTAGTCGTAGTAGTAGTAGTAGTAGCATTTTTACGAGTAGTAGTAGTCGTAGTAATAGTAGTAGTAGCAGCAGCAGTAGTGGTAGTAGTGGTAGCAGTGGTAGTAGTAGTAATAATAATAGTAGTAGTAGTAGTAGTAGTACTAGTACTAGTAGTAGTAGTAGTAATAATAATACTACTGCTGCTACTACTACTACTACTACTACTACTACTGCTAGTCATAGAAATAGAACTAGAAGTAACAGCAATAGCAAAAGTAGTCGTAGTCGTACTAGTAATAACAATAACAAAAATAGAAGTAGTAGAACTAGAGGTGGCCCTAGAATGGGTAGTAATCGCTGTAGTGTAGTACTATGCGTAGTCGTAGTAGTAGTAGTAGTAGTAGTAGTAGTAGGGGTAGTAGTAGTAGTAGTGGTAGTGGTAGTGGTAGTGGTAGTGGTAGTGGTAGTGGTGGTGGTGGTGGTGGTGGTTAGTAGTAGTAGTAGTAGTAGTAGTAGTAGTAGTAGTAGTAGTAGTAGTAGTAGTAGTAGTAGTATTAGTAGTAGTAGTAATAGTAGTAGTAGTAGTAGTAGTAGTAGTAGTAGTAGTAGTAGCGGTAGTAGTAGTAGTAGTAGTAGTGGCAGCCGTCGTAGTATCAGTGCTGCTTGTCGCTGTCGCCGTTGTTGCTGTTGTTGGGTTCCTGGTGTCGGATCGGTGCTCGACGCAATGGTGGGCCTAATAATAGCGATGGCACGCGTAACGATAATTCCACAAATTCTGGTACGGCGCCTACCTCTCAACCTCCTCCCGCGCGTCCTCGGCTCCCTTTTGAACGAGTCAATACCGCCGGCGCGTTTGCCGGGCGCCACGGCCACGGTACGCGCTGCGGCACGCGCCGCGGGCGGCAAGGGGCCGACGGCGGCGCGGCGCCGGCCCGGCGGCTCTCGCCGCCCACCGTCAAATTACACAACTTCTTGGGAACCTGCGCGGCCAGCACCGTCACGCGCGCTCCGCGCGCGAGAGGTGCTCCTGGCAGCCGCTCATCGCCGACGCGAACGTCGATGCATGTGTGCTCCGGTGAAACGAGACGCAAAGCGGTCGCTGCAGCAGACCTGCGCATGTCGCGCACTGCGCCGCCGATGTTGACCCGCGCCGAGTCAGCGCTCGCCACCGCGGAAGCGAACGACGCCACCGCCACGGCGGCAGCGGAACGCTCCATCCAACTCCACCGAATCCCGAAGCCTGGAACCACTTGCAACTGGCCGCGCGCGTTCTGCTTCTGATCTGACACGCGATCACCGTAGCCGATAAACTGCCGATCCACGGCGGTGACCTGCGACGCGGCCTCACCCCGCGCAACGATCTCGCGCTCCTCGGCGCCAGGCGCGAGCCAGAGACACGATCGACACCGTGTCTCGCCAGGCTTCCAGCCGACCTGGCGCGACGTCGACGCGAGAATCGCCGTTGCCTCGAACTCTCCCAGTGGGCCCTCAACGGACCTCGTGGAGCAACTTCTCCCGGTTGCTGACCCGCGCCGTGCGCTCGCTGCCCCGATCCTCGTGGTTGGCCCGTTCCGACATGCTGCTGCTAAGACCATTCCTCTGGCCAGCTCCACTCGTCGTTTCCCCAGTCCCCGCGTTTCTGGCGCTTCGCCTCGGGAGTCCCAGACTCTACGTCCTCGCCGCGCACCGCGACGCCGCCCTCGCCCGCCCCTGCACGCCAGCACTCAGCGCCCCCCGCCGCATGCGAAGCGACAGACTTCGAGCACTTCGCGCGGACGTCGTCGGCGGAGCTTTCGGACTGCGACTGGCCGTAGCCCCACTGGGCGCGCACCGCGTTCTCGAACGCGCCCACCACGGTCACGTCGAAGAAACGGCCCCCGTACGTCGCCTCGGCCCGCTCGCCCACGACGAACGATTGAGGGAACGGGGCCTTGGCGTCGTCATGGCCGTCCACGCCCGCCACTCGAATGTCGCGATTGGAGCGCGCCGCCTCGAACTGATCACTGCCCCACCTCACGACGCTCGTGGTCGCGCCCGCCTCCACCGCGGTGACGTCGAAGAACTTGCCCCCGCGCAGCGCCTCACCGCGCGCGCCAGAGGCGAGCGCGGAGGGGGCAATGCCCGTGGAGGTGATAGCTGCTTCTTCGAGCGCAGCGTTCCCCGCGAGCACTCGCGCCAACTTTGCTCCCAGAGCCTCTGTGTCCGAAGCGCAAGCGGACATCGCGGTGACACCCTCCAGGTCGCCGCCCCCCATGGCCCATCTCCCTCCGACGCAACCGCCCGGAGCCCCGCGACTCGGGGCCTCCCTCCGGGGAGCCCTCGCCACCGGACGCTGCCGCCGCGGAGCTCGGAAGCGCGGCGGCGCCGCGCAGGCTGTCCACATTCTCGACGATGCACGCAACAGCACCGCTCTTCAATGGCGGTTTTTGTTTGCAGAAGGGCACTGCGCACGGATTCGCGAAAGCCTGGGCGCGCAGGCGAACTTGACCCCAGGGGCCCGCGGAAGAAACGCTCGCCAACGCGAGCCAGAGACAGCGGACTGGACATCTACGCGTTAAATCCTCCACGAAAAGCACGCTCAACAATGCAACCAACCTACGTGATGCAGGCCCAACGAGACGTGCAATGCCGGCCACGCCACGTCACATACACCAAGTGGTGGAACCTACGTGATGGGCCCAGTGCCGCAACTTGCGGGACCAGTCTACGCGCGGAACAACGCAGCGGTTTCCCGTTTGTTCCCACGGGCCTCATGGTACCCAGGCGCCACTAGCGCCGGGACCTTCCCACGCAACCCGCCTTCAAAGTGATTACAGCGTGACTCCAGTACACCTGGGTCATGCTTCTGCTGTTCGCCCTCCCTGAATCGCACCAACCCTCTGGGCGACAAGTGGTCGAAGGAAATTCCTCTTTCCTCTTCCACCACCCCTTCTCCCCCTTCGAGAAGGGGCAGACCCCTCCCCCCACCCCTGCCCCTGGACTTAGACTGGGAGTTTCGCGACGGGCGGGGGCATCCAAGATGGCCCAAGGTGGCTCCAAGAAGGACCCCGGTGCTCCAAGATGATCTCCAAAACGGCCCCAGACAGCCGTGAATGATTCACGCCAGCATCCGACATGCCTCCGAGAGACCCTTACAGGGCCACAAACCACTTTCAAGTTCCTTCAAAAACCCATCATGACCTCCCCGAAAATGCAACCTCGTGAACAAAATTATCGACAATCGATGATGTGTGCTGTGCCTTCTCGCTTTTCGCTGCCGATGCGCTTCTGAAGCCTGCTGATGGCATCAAAATTGCCCAAGAAGACCCCATGAGGGCCCAAGAGGCCCCCCAAGTGGGCCCAAGGACGCCCGAAAGCGCTCCAGAAAGGGCCCCAGAAAACTCCCGAAAAGACAGCCATCAGGACCCACGCGGGGACAAGCATACAAGAACCCCCATCATTTCATCGACGGCCCCCCGAAGGGAGCCAAGAGGCCTTCGAAGGCTTCCAACAGAGCCTCATAACCGCCGAAAAAAGGGCACCAAGACGGCCCAGGAGAGCCACCAGAGAACCCCAAGCCCTTCAAAGAGCCCTTAAAAAACACCCAGATGCCCCAAAACGAACTTCAGAAGGACCCCGAACCCCCCAGAATAGCCCCCTTAACACCAACGGAACGACCCCGCATGAAAATCCTTTCAGCTAGTCTGGAAATGACCTTCACTGTCGCGCGGGCCCCATAGAGAAGGGGCCCCCTTCTCAGTCCTCCTCGCCGATCACTCGCAAACGAAGCTGCCGCCTGCTACTTCCCCCATGCTCAAACGTCGGGAGCCCGTGACGACAGTTACAAGTTCGAGGATGACCCGCTTGGATTCAACACGTGTTGTGCGGGCCCAGTAAAGGACGAACCCCCGCCTGAGCCTTCCTCGCAGTTCATTCGCATACGGGGCCCCCGCCTGCTGCTTCCCCGATATTCAGGCCTCAAGAGCCCGAAAAGGACGACAGTTACAGGATCGACGATGATCTGCTCATTATTGGAAACATAAAATGCGATTCCCAAAGGGAGAGGACGCCAGCCAGAAACTTCCCCGCTATTCACTTTCAAACGTGTCTCCCGCCTGATACTCCCCCCATGTTCATGCCTCAGAGGCCCACACGCGACGAGACTTTTAAGTTCGAGGATGACTCACTCGGATGAAAACTGCGAAATGCGGGCCCCAAAGGGAGAGGCCCCCCGCCTGCAAGTTCCTCGCATCATTCACAGACAACCCCCCCGCCTGATATTTCCCCTATGTTCAGGCCGAACGAACCCAAACGTGACGACAATTACAAAATCGAGGATGACCCGCTCGGAACATATTTATATATATATACACACGAAATACACTTTACCACACAAAAAGTGCGAGCCCCATGGGGAGAGGGCCCCCACTCGGACTTCCTCGCAACTTGCTCACAGACGAGCCCCCCGTCCGATGCGCCCCCCATATTCAGGCCTCAGGAACCCAAAAGTGACAACAGTTATAGGTTCGAGGATGATCAGCTCTAAATTGGAAGCATCAAATTCGCGAATCTTATCGACTTCCTCGCATCATTCACTCACAAACGCGCCTCCCGCCTGATACTTTTTCCATGCTCAGGCCTCAGGGGCCCAACACTGACGACAGTTGTAAGTTCGAGGACGACCGCCGGGATTCAAAACGTGATATGCGAGCCCCTTAGGCAGGGGGCACCCCCTCTGAGACTGCCTCGCGACTCGCTCACAGACGAACCCCCCGTTTACTACTTCCCCCGCAATCAGGCTTCATGAACCCAAAAGTGACGACAATTGCCGGTTCGAGGATGACTCGCTCGGATTAATGAAGCGCGGGTCCCATACGGAAAGGGCCCCCGCCGAGGGTGTCTCGAACGAAACACGCCCCATTACTTCGCTAACTGCATCTTGAAACCCAGGAGTAAAAGACGAGGCGACATCGCCTCATATCGCGCATGACGGATGCCAAGCCCCGACTATATCCCGAGCAAAACGAAGCGCCCCGCCTCGATAGCCGAATGTTGGAACCAAGAATTGCTAAGATGGCTCTGGCGAAACGGGCCAGGGGAGCGCGAATCAGGACATCTCGGAAAACAGGGGCCACGGGGATGTCTCAAACGCGAAAATGCCTCTGGGCCTAGAGCGCTGCATCGCGGGGTCACGAGCTCCAAGGAAGTCTCTCGGGAACCAAGCCAAATCGTCAACTCAGGGCATCGCGGAGCCCGGGGAATCGAAGATGACTCGACCGAAATAAGCCTCAACACCTCGCGAACCGCATCGCGGAACGCGCAAGTGGGAGTCCGAGAATGCCCCAGCCGAAGCAGGCCTGTCCATCTCGCGACCCACTTAGCGGGGCCCAGAGATGCGTGGGCCCCACGGGCGAAGCGAGCCGAAGCACTTCAAATGAAGGTGCCCCAAGGTCCGGTGTTCCGAAGACGTCGTCAATGAATTGGGCGACAGCCTACGTGGGCCATGGGAGCGCCGAGCTCTTGTGAGCGGGACACCTCTCCGGCGCGTCCCTGGCGCGTCCTTTGGGGTAGCTGGGGCCCCCTGGGAGTGCCCCGGGCAACCCTGGCACTACTCAGGCCCAAGTGCCCTGCCTCCCCCGCGGTCGAGGAAGGATCGCCTGGAGGAGCGAACGCGACGCAATGATGAATGCCCCATTGTCGTCAAGCGCCGCAGCGCCGAACGCTCGACGCAATGGAATCCTGCGGATTCGCACGTCGGAAGAGTCTAATCCAAGGCGCATGCCTCGAAACAGACGGGCCCTTGCCCCTGGGGGGGCAACTCTGCAAGACCACGCGCAAGAAACGCGCGGAACCGCGCCCCAAGTGAGGGCCAATGCGTGGGCGGAATCGCACAAAGCACAATGGATATGCGGCCCACTAAGAGCCAAACCTATACGGACACACGCGCCCCCTCCTCCTCGCCGCGGGGAGGGCGACAAGGCAGCGCGTGATCGGGACCCCAGGAGAACGCGCATGCGTCTTTGGGCTCGCACGTGAACGCCGAAAACCATGCAAATTCCATTCGAACGCACGCAGTTCGAAAATCGCGCACGCCCCTCGCATTTTCAAAATTCCGCAAATTTCGCGCCATCTCATGGACGTCGGATTCGCCCCCTACAAAGAACGTCAGCCAATCGCCAATCGTCCGTACACTCCACGAATTCCTTTACTGTCGTAAATTCCGTGTGTTCCGTAACTGACGACAATTCGGGACGTCCCGTAGAACCCGTAGATATCGTAGCATGCTATGCTTTCCTCAGCTTTCGTCTCCTGAAAGGAACGCCAAAGGAACGCCAGATCGGGGAATCGCCAGATTGCGGAATTTACAAAGAACTCACGTACATTGACGCACGCACGTCAACGTCGTAGAGGCGGTGACTTCCATAAATTTCGTACATTTCGTCAATGCTGCAACTATCGTAAAAACCCTTCATTCCGTGAGACCAACAGATTTCGCAACATTCGTGATCATGCGACATTGGGAAAGTACCAAAAATTGCAGAAAGGCTCCACTCCCCCAAGCAGATTTCAAGGGGCTCAATTGTTTGTCCAAACCGAAGCCCGGCGGCATTCCCCGTCGACCTCGCTGAATCAAAGAAAGAATCCCAGCATAACCCAGCATGACCCATCTGCCACGTGGGCACAGGGGCGCGGGAAATCTCGGAAGAACCCAATACTGTATACCAAAGATACAATGCAACATAATTTTCAAATTCTCGGCCCCTCCCCCTCGAATGCTTGGGACAAGCTCCCCGGGAGAACCGGGCAGACGCCAACCGCTGAATCCGCCGACCCTGTCGGCGTGTGGAAGACGCATCCCGGTGTCGTCGTCTTGCGTGGATCACCGTCGTCGTCGTCGTCGTCGTCGTCGTCTCCGTCGTGTCCTCGTCGTCTCCGTCTCCGTTGTCCCTCGTCGTCTTCGTCGTTCCCCGTCTCCTTGAGCGCGCGAGCCAAAGCGACATTGAGCAACGTCGTAGTTGAGTCGTGGCGAAGCTCCTCCCTACCCTCCCCGCCGGGGGGGGGGGGGGGTGGTCGCCGGGGGGGGTCGCCACCCAGATACGCATCCTCCCCGGGGGGTCCCGGAGCTCAGAAAAGCTTCAAGAGGAGCCAAGAGCGACAGAAGACACCCCCAAAAGGGTACAAGAGGGCCTCGACTCGACGAACGATGGCCCCAAGACGCCCAAGACGGCCCGAAGACGGCCCAAGAGGCCCTCAAGACGCCCCAAGAGAGCCCCAAGAGCAC